TCTTTAATGAGTCACTTTTAATAGATTAATAAATTAATCCTACAATCTTCCACTTGACTCAAATGACAACTTGATGTTTCATTCTTATACCATAATTGTGCACCATTCATTGAAATCACCAAATCGTTATCTTTAATGAATTGAAATGATCGGATCATGGCGGTCACACATTATTCATCAACTTGATTTCTTCCATGTATCACGAATCAACCTAATTCAAATAATCTTAATGGATACAATAATGTGTCTTTCATATCTCTTCAAAGACACCTTTCTCATCACATATTAGTAATAATATATACAACATAATATGGATAACAAAACAAAGCAGAAACGTATCCTTAATTGAATTCACAAGTGTCATACAATATGAACATCAAATTATATATCGATTATATTATAATGTTAACAAATTGTTTTACATAATGCCCATCTTTTCTACATGGCCAACAAATGTCTTGGGCGGTAAACCTTTGGCTAACCGATCCGCTATCATTAAATTGTTACCAATGTGTTCAAATAACACTTTTTGTTTCTGCACTTCTCCTTTCACTAATAAGTATTTCAATTTCATGCGTTTAACACCCTTTAAATACTTATCATTCTTAGAGAATAAGATAGTTGCACGTTTATCGTAATAAATCCTTAGCGACTTGAGTCCACACATCCTACAAAATTTAAATCCGAGTAGTCAACCACTTTAAGGTGATATAACCTTTTATATATGAGCATCTAATCTTTGGTGCCTTGTGAGTACTTAAGAACTTTTTTTGTAGTTTTCCATGACTTGTATGAATGTGATTGGAGCCTAATCAATGCTCATGTCACGTTCATGCTCAAGTGAATAATTATGTATTGTCTCTTTGTGTTGTATGATGACAACACAACTATATGGACTCCAACATGATGAGATTCTTTAGGGGAAGAAGATTCTCCACAAGTCTCCATAATATCCATTTTGTGTGATTTCTCAATCCTACTGAACTAATCATTTTCAATAAACCGAGCATTATTAAACTCGACTATTCTCATACTATGATTAGGACAATAAAATCTATATCATTTTGATGTGGACTATACACCTTCACTTTTGCTTGATTGTCTTAAACATGAATATACTTTAAACTGTGTTTCCTTCCTGCCTACAGTTTATAAGGAGTTTTAGAATTTGTCTTGCTAGGAATCCTATTAAATCAAATATGCATCGGTCCTTAATGTGTATGTCCACAATGATAATGATACATTTACTATAATTTAACATTTTTTCAACATCACCATTTTGTTGTGGTGTGTCAGGCATAAAATATTATTCACATTTACCACAACTTTCGATAAACTTTGCAAATGAACCTATATATTGTCCTTTCTAATCAAGTTCAAATACAATCTATTGGACTTTTCCTATGTCTCTAATAGAGACATTTCTCTTTTGTATTGCTCCCAGTAATGACTACAAGTTTCTCCTTCATTATTAATGTCATGTCCAAGTCCATAACACCATACTAGTAACCACACATATTTAAAACATGCTCATATTTTAATGCTTTGATTAACTTTCATGGATTCAAACTAATCATCTTTAAACATGTATCAAAGTTCATCTTTGGATAAAAACTTAAATACATTTTAATAAATTTTAATGATGCTAAATCAACATATTTTACTGGACAATAAAATCACATAAAACATGCATGTCTATCTTTGATATACAAACAACAAGTATGTCAACAAATATCTTAATTTTATCAATTAAGATCATCTTTAGATGATCTATATATACCTAATAATAATAATAAATATTATTCAACACAAATATGTTATTCATATAACATCCGCATCAAGTTAATTGTATATTTTGAAATCATAAAATTTAATTGATTTCACCACTTTGGTAATTAACAAATTTATAACTCAAATAATTTTAAACTTTAAGGTATCTTTTCACTTCAAAATTAAATAATAGATTGATGTCCATACTTAAAATTCACTATAAGCTTTTAAAATTTAACCACTTTAGTGATTAACAAGTTTCATATCTATTAAGCACTATAATTATAAAAGTAGATTATATAATTGAATTTGTATAATTTGAAATTAAAAACTTTAATAGTTTGACTACTTTGATATTCAATAAATTCTTGCTTTAAAATTTTTAAATTTTTATTTTAATATACCCTTCATGCAAATTAATTTTGTAAATAAATAATAGATAAAAAATTTTAAAATTAAAGTTTCTTTAAATAATAATACAAATAAACAAATATTTTTCTACCATATAATGTCAGTCGTTCATGCAAAATCTACTACCATTTCATTACAAATATATATATTTTAAATGAATTGCTTAGTATAATTATTCCTTGAAACAGTGTGACCGAACTCATCATAATCATTCATCATCAAACGTCACTTTTACGCATTATGCAGCAATGCAATGTTTCAATAATACAAACATATGCTCATAAAAATAATAATACAAACATATATTGCATACTCAATATATATCTTTCACCAATTTTATACATTATACACTACAAGAAAAAAGGAGATTTACGACACTTGAGTTGCGACAGTTATCACAAAACCGTCCTTATTTTTAGATTGCGACGGTTGTCACGACAGTTAGGGTCAACTGTCCTAGATTTTTTGCGACAGTTATCAAAAAACCGTTCTTATTCCTGAACTACGACGGTTTGAGCCAACCGTCGCAAATTATTTAGGCATGTTGTATAAAATAATGCGACAGTTACCAAAGAACCGCCCTCTTTCCGCACTCGCGACAGTTAAGGCGAACTGTCGCAATTACTTTAGTCAATCATAATCACTATTTTTTTATTCCTTTAATTTTCCACTTTTTTCTTCATTTTTATTTTCTAACATTTTCAATTTTATTAATTAATTTAATAAATAATTATTATAATTATTATAATTTTCATGACAATGTAGCTTAATATTTTTGTCTAAAGTAATAGTAAATTATTTTCGGTTTTATTATATAGAGACGCATTTCACGACAGTATACATCTACCGTCCTTACATTTTAAAAAGATTATTAAATATTACGACTGTTATCATTAAGACCGTCCTACAAATAAGTTCACGACTGTCTCAAGAACCGCCCTAAATTTTATGTCACGATGGTAGAACAACCGCCGCCTCCTAAACCCAATAACACAAACTATAACCAATGGCGGATCCAAAATTATTTATTTGTGGGGACTAAAAATTAATCTATGTATATTAAATAAATAAATAACTAAAAAAATTTATAAAATATAATTATAGTAATAAATTAAACTTAAAATACATAAAAATTAAAATATTATATATACTTAAAATAAAAATTTAATTTTAAAAACAATTTTTATAGTAAAAATTAAATTCAAAATATTATATCCAAAATTGAATTATTAAAATTAAAGTATATATCAAAATTTTATAAACTCAAAATTTTAAAAATAATTTTGATAGTAAAAATTAAACATAAAATTAAACTATATATACTCATAATACTATAAAATATCAAATAAACAAAATAATGCAATCAACATCCATTTATTAAATAAAAAAAATTAATTAAAACAAAATTGTACTCTGTTGTCCTCCAAAATTTTATCTTTTCCCGCTAAAACTGAAAATTCATTCTCCTTTTCATGTGTATTTTTCTCTTCTTTTTCATAAATCTGCGTTCATGCCCTTGGAGAAAGAGGGAAACAAACTTTTTTCTCAACCACTCACGCCGTCATTGCGAATCGCCGTCAAAGCAATCACCATCAATTCGAATCTTAACAGGTTTGTCTTCTCAAACCCTAAATTACTTTTCAAATCTTGAATCGGATCCTGGTTTGAAACCTTGTATGTTGTTAATTCAATGGTTTTGTCCTGAGTTCGTATCAGACTCGGTTTTGTTTCCGGTGATCGTGTCTGACTGCGGCGGTTACTTTCTCTATTGTGCTTGTTGTTTGATTTGGAGTCTTTGTTTATAATTCAGAACATGCTTCATACTATACTTGTAATTTAAATCGAAATATTGGGTTGTGTTATTTTAGACTAGATTTTCTATAGAATATTTTGAGAAAGATATAATTGTTCATAGTAGCCAAATTAGTGCAGAGATAGAAAAATGGTAAAGTGAGAATCATTGATTTCTAACTACATCACAGTGTTGTAATTCACAAGCCAAAATAGTCTTTACAAATTCATACAACTTCCTTAATTCATTTCATCATTTAATCTATGTTGCTCTTTTGAGAATCATATGCGAGAGCAACCAATTTCTTTTGATTGCGATGAAAATGATATCTCAAGAAACAACTCTCGTAGTAGTAATAGAATTTTAGTATCTCGAGAAAAAGAACCTCGATTGATCTATGAAACCTCTTTGGCGGAAGAAATAACGTCTTTGTTGGTTATCCTAAACTCCCTGTATATTTTTCATGCTAGAGCATTAAGTAGTAAAGCTCCACAATCTAAAACACTGTCAATTCTGAGCATTAAGTAGTAAGCTCCATAGTGGCAGCAACAATGTCTCCATTGGCAACTTTGAGAGCTTTAACAGGTCTTGATCTTGACACACCAGCTTGAGTCACCACCAACTTGATATCCTTAGGATCAACACCAGTCTCGTCTACATATTCGTCTTCCGGAGCAATACGAAAGGATTCTGGCTTCGCTCCAACACAACTCAAATTAGAAGCCTTGAACTGTTCTGCTGCCTGAGTTGGTAGCTGTGAACTCAAGTCCTCAATCTTAGCTTCACCAAAACTAATGTATGTGTTGGAAGTTGGTATCTTGAAAATAACTACTTTTGTGCAAAAGGATGTTTATGCTGCCTCGGAGACGACAAGCGGAGGAAAAATGCCAACATCAGGCAAGAATCTGGAATGAAGCAATGCAGCCAAAGAAGAGCCTGCAACCCACTTTGGTTCAAACAACTGCTGCAACACACAGACAGCCTGGGAAAGAGCCCTGCAACCCAATAAACTGAATTATCGTAAGCAATGATATTCAAGTGTATATTGTTAATGTATTACAAGAATAGCAGAGGCCGCAATTGTCGTAAGCAGGGGAAAATGCTGACTTTAGTTGAATACCTCCTCCTGCTTTACCGAGCTTTATTGCCAACACCAGTTTGGTATCGTTTCTTCCTAAACAAAGAATATGGAAGCCTCTTTTCATCACTGATGACAGGATTGTATCTAACATTTAAACTCACATCTGTGGTTGACAAGGTGCAATCTTTCTTTGCTGTAGTGAAGGCATTGTCACGTAAAAAAGTACAATATGGGGCTCATGCAACATCAGAGCAGGTTGTTATAGTCGGTGATCTTTGTGCCATTTGTCAAGAGAAGATGCATGCCCCAATCTTACTTCGCTGTAAACACATTTTCTTCAAAGACTGTGTATCAGAGTGGTTTGAGAGGGAAAGGACCTTCCCATTGTGCAGGGCTTTGGTAAAACCTGCAGACCTCAGGTCATTTGGTGATGGCTCTACAAGTTTGTTTTTCCAGTTATTCTAAACTCATGATACAAGTCAGGAAGTTTTTTCTGTTTTGAAGCTTTATTTTTAAAACAACAGTCCTGATCAATATACATCAACATATGTAAAATTCACTTGAGGCATTTTGGAGACACTCTGAGAAGATGAATACAGCTAAATAGGATTTAACTTGTCACCTATTATTCATATAATGTACTTGTAAGAGGTTAAGTGTATTATATGACCCTGCCATACAAAACATATTGTTACCAAGATAACAAAATAAGAAAGAAACTTCTATCACCTATTTTCAACATATTTTACTTCACAAACTTAAATAACAAACCACGATTAGAAATCAACAAAGTTACTCTCATCTATAACAAATAAAATGTTTCGAAGATATTAATTGGATAAGTTTATTTCCAGAGTAAGGTTTTATTTTTATGTAATGCTTTCTTAGTCAACCTAGAGTCAGAGTTAATTTCTTTAGATTTCTGCAGAAACCATTCTGCCTGGCCAGTAGATATGACTTCTGGAGAAGAACCACCACCAGAATCTAAGAAGTATAGGAAAGCCACCGGTGATTGCAGATCATCTGACACCGAAACCTGAACGACATAATTTGATACACTCGGCCAAAGGGTTCTTGGACCATATCTAGAAAACGATGCATTGTGTTTGATCTCATTTTTCATCAACTCCATTCTTCCTGTTCCTCTAAAGCTACACACTCGAGATGTGTATGACCGACTTAGATAGAGAGAAAGCCTCTGTTTTCTTCAAAGAACAAACAGGTTCAGCTGCCGAGATGACCATCAACTCTGGCATTAGGAAAATTCTTCCAAATTCTGAAATTTGTGACTTTGATTTTGAACCTTGTGGTTATTCAATGAATTCTGTTGAGGGGCCTGCTGTATCTACAATTCATATTACTCCAGAAGATGGTTTCAGTTATGCAAGCTTTGAGACTGCAGGATACGATTTGAAGGCAATAAATCTGAATGGAATGGTTTGAAACAAGCTATCACCAATTCATATTACCCAAGAAGATGGTTTCCAGGTTGAAGAAAATAAGCTGGTACAAACTACACATAACAAATATTCAATAAAATCAAAAATAAAAGCACTTCTAAATGAAGATACATACAAAATGAGAGGGAGACACAAGAGAAGCTCAACCTGTCCTACAAAATCGCACCTAACTCGCGTCGATTCAGTTCATCACTTGGAAGTCGATCCCCTAAGTGAAATGTTGTTAACCGTTGAGAATCCAGAACCAGTTCTAGAAACTTTTCAAAACCATCTCGCTGCAGGAACATTGGAGGTTCTGTCACCGGTTTTCTCAGATAAGAAAAACTCAATCACCAACAACAGCATAATTGAAACTAATGTGTATGTAAGTCAAGGCTCAAAATCTGTTTATATACTCAGCAGACTATTCTCAACTGAATCCAGCATTTTGTAGCAAAATTTTCATGTGTTAAAAGTGAAAACGCATGCGGCGTATGCCATGGTTAAAAAACACTTTGCTCTACCACTGAACCGTGAAAGAGGAACCAGATCTGTTTACAATGAGTGTTAATCTTGGTATACCTAGACCAATTTAGTATGTGATGAATTTAATTAATCCAACTATATAATTGAAATTTTTTACTAAGTAGGTTTGGTATACAATTCATATAGAAAGAGATAGTACTTTATCGCACTATTGCAATTAAAGATATAATATGTTTTCTAAAAAATAAGTATATGTCCACTAATAGATTACAAACCTAACAATTTCTAAATTATTTAAAATTTAATATATGTGATCATAAATTAATATCAGATGATTCAATGATTTGATTAGCTAGTTTCACATTTTTACATTAAGTTATTAAGTGATGCAAATATCCAAGACTTGCACCTAATGTTGTATTTTCTTTTGAAACCTTAATATTTCTTTACTTTATCAAGGAAAGGTTTATAATCTTCATTGCTATTTTCTTTTATTTACTGTGTGTAGAAGGTATTATTAGCCTTCATTGTTATTTTCGTCATGGTTTCCAAACACACTTGCCCAAGATATACCCTTATTTCTTGCCGGCGAAGTTGCTTGATCCCAATACAAACTTGCATTTGCAATCATAATATTGTTAGCCGTAATGACATCTCCAAGATATATCACAAAATCTGTCAGACAATTAGTCTAACATCATTATGTTGAATATCACACCACATGAAACCAATAGACATCATGTTCAACTCTATAACTCTTTGATGCATGGGGCTGCATTTGATTCCAAACCACTTGCAGAAATGGATGGAAGAATTCCAAGATTCAAAGAGTTGTATATGGATAGTTGGTTATTGATGCTTTGAATTTAAGCAATGCCAAATGATCTGTTTGGCTTCCTAATGTCACTTATACGATTTTGTTAGGACCAAATCATATTAAAGTTAAGGTAAAGAGAAAAAACAGATGAAGGTATATAAGTGTAGGTGACGAGAGAGAACTGAAGAGAAAGGCTAAGAAATTATAATAGAACAAAGCTAATACTTTACTTCATTATAGATTAAGAGAAGTGGATAAATTTTACATACCAAAGAGCACCACATGTTGTAATCACACTTTAAAGGTTTTCTTCACTACTTACATTGATATCCTGTTTAAAATTAAATGTATGTCTTGGGTTCATTTTGGTTAGTTTGCGATTATGAGACTAGAGTATAACTTTTGTCTTTTAATGGCATCTGATTCTATTGCTGCAAATATTTGTATTTAGGGTGTTTGCTTTTTTTTTTTATAGGATTTGCTTTGAACTTTACTGTTGTATTTATCTATGTCTATTTTTTGAAGAAATGGATAAGTCATGGATTACTAAGCCACAATCATTGATTGCATATCAGCAAGGGATAAAAGAATTTATTGATTTTGCATTTAAAGGTGCAAAAGAAAATGACGTAGTAATATGCCCTTGCAAACACACGTTTTGCTTTGAACCTTACTGTTGTTTACTTGTTTATGTGATAGATGAGGAAGGTTATGTTTCAAACACACGTTTATGTGTGAAAGAAATGGTTGCAAAATCAAAGTCTGATGGAACATGGATAATACTTGAATTTGATAAGGATCATTGTGCAATAGGACCAGCTTCTGGTTTGTTAGCAGGGTATTTGGGTATAATTATTAGAATGTTTAAAGATTTTTCCATAATGTTCGAGAGTTGGAAGGATATTCCAGCGGATACAAAAACAAAGTTTTATGATTCAAAGATAAAGGTATCATTAATAAACAATTATATATTTTTTAAATTAATTTCAAGGTGATTATTATTTGCTTTGTTAACTAATATTTTTTATGGTTAGCTCCACTTGTTGATGATGGGCGTGACAAAGAATTCATACTTGCTTCTGCTGCAAAGAAATGGAAGAATGACCGACATCAATTGTTTCGCCAATTTTATAGATGGGATCTCACTTTGGAGGAAAATCTTCAAAATTATCCAATATGCAGAGGCATTCTGGAAAATGATTGGGCTGTTTTTTTTCAATATAGGCGGAAAGAAAAAACACAGGTAATATTAGTGTTTTTATTTGTTAGATTTATCTAGTTTGTATGTTATCCCTATCTATAACGCATGTTTTTAATTGTTAACTATGTAGAGAATAGCTCAAAAAAATGCCCAAAATAGAGCAAAATTGAAGACTCCACATACACTCGGATCTAAGTCGCTTGCAAGGAAGAAACATGAGTTGGTATGTCTAAATTTATATAGAGTTGAATGTATTACTGATGGTAAAAATAATTAATATATTTTCTTATTTGTAGGAATCGAGAGATGGACGAACATACAGTAGAGGAGAAATGTATGTAGTTTCTCATAAAAAGTCAGACGGGTCTTTTGTCAGTGAAGATGCATACAATAATAATGTAAGTACAAGTTAATTCTTTTTAAATATTTGTTAGTCTCCTTAAGGTATGAGAAAAAATCAAACATTTTGGCATCTCTTAAAGGTGGGGAGAACGTGTCTGAAAACTGATTAAATTAGATTGAGAATTGTGATTATTTGAGTTAATTAATTAGTCTTGTAACAATAGATTGTGCTCTTTATAAAGTCAACTAATTATTCAGACAAATAGAAATAAAATATAAAATTAAGACAAGATTACATTTTATATATGATGTGAAAACATATAATTCTACTAGTTACATACTTGTGTGCCTTAGATGAGAATAGTTGGTAACATATATTTTCACTAAAGCATAACTTTTACAAATACTGTAATTCAAATTTTAAATAAATAGAAGTAGTAAGATGAAAGTTTAACATGTATACAAATTTTACATAATCAAATATGTTATTGGAATTGAAAATTACCATCACAAATGCATACTGAAATTGAAATTTTAAATAATTCGAGCAGCCAATAAAACTTGTTGGAATTGAAATTTACCATCACAAATAGATTAACTAGCTAAACCAAGTTTTAAATTACTAAACATCTTTTTCATCAATACAAATTTATCAGTTTTTGCTTATAATCATTGTTTGTTTCCCCTTAAGACGTAGAAATTTTTTTATTAGATAGATTAAAAAGTTAAGTTAAGTTTGCTTGCTCAATTTACTCTTTTTCATGTGCAGGAAAAGTTACAAGCTGCAATTAAGGATTCTGTGTCTGAAAATGAGGCATTTCAGAAAGTATTTGGAAAAGAACAACATGGATATGTTCGTAGTATGGGACTTGGAGTTACGCCATCTCATATTAATAGATCTACAAGATCGACATCTTCTTATGCAGAAAATGAAAAAATAAAGGAAATGCAGCAAGAAATTATTGCACTTAAAGAAAAAAATTCAAAAATTGATGAATTGATGGAGGCAATCACATTCTTAAAGCAAAGAGACAATGCTATGAAAGAAGAAATTGAAGTCTTAATGCAAATGCAAAATTCTAGTGGAAGACAGGTAAATTATTTTGATGAATTTAAAGTTAAAGCTTCAGAGTATTATTTTAAAGAATATTATTTTAATACAATTTTTTTCCAAGGATTGGAATCACCTACTGATGGTAGACGTTCATCTGAGTCTAGCTACCGAATTCCATAATGACATACTTTCTAGATTATGAACCTTTTTATTCATTTTTGGCACAATGATACTTATTGTTATAAGATTGTGATTTGATATGTTTTCGGATTTTTTTATTACATGACATGATTATGGAACTTTCATTTTACATGATTATGAAACTCACGTTTTTTCGATATTATAATGTTTATTTGATATTAAGTTTTTGAATTAATTTTACTACGCTAAAAAGCGATAGAAAAAATTATAAAAAAAACTATAAATAAAAATATTATTGTATAAATATTTTAAAGAAAAAATAATATAACTATTTTAGTAGATAATAATTTAAATAAAAGAATATATTATAAAACAATAAAATACAATATATAAAAATTAATAATGAACCGTCAAGATATCACATTCACGACAATTTTAAACCGTCGGAATCAACAATGGTAACAAAAATCAAAAGGATATTCACGACAGTATTTAACTGTTGTCATTTCCAATTTATGTCAGTTCCAACCAGTCGTGAAATAGAGTTCACGACAGTTTTAAACCGTCACAATCAACAATGAAAATAAAAATCAAAAGGATAGTAACGACGGTCTTTAACTGTCGCTATCTCCAGTTTAGGTCAGTTCAAACCCGTCGTGAAATATAACAACGATTGTGTGTGACGGTTTTTTCAACCGTCGCTAAACAGTCTGGGGACACATGTTTCTGCGACGGTACTACAACCGTCGTAGAATGTAATTGGTGGTGGTTTTAACTATTGTAACCTGCCAAAATAACCGTCGCAATTCATCGTTTTTCTTGTAGTGATACCAATTTGATATCAACTTTACCACATTCAAATATATGAATTTCATATTTGATTATACTAAATTGCAACATGTAGCATATTCATAACAATTGAATTGTCATATAGGTGTAACGTTTTGTTTCAAAATTAAGGAACTGACACATTTCATTACATATTCGGATAAAGTCTTTAAGACTTATATGCACCTTAAACATATCATATATATTAATAAATTATAACATATTTAAACAAGTCATATATATTAATAAATTATAACATATTTATATATGCAATGATGAGACTTATCTCATGATTAATCGTTATTAGAAAATCACAATATCGATAATGAATGATATGATACCAACTGTTAGATAATTTCATGTTTGAATCTTGATATCATGATTTTCACGGTGCTTTGATTTCTATAAAAAAAAAATTAAAATTGCACCCAAATCTACGTCATCGATTCTTATCCAATTCTTGATTTTTGATCTGAATTGTTCTCTTCTCTTTTCCTTCTTCCTTATACATCTTTGATGATTAAGATATTTTTCATTCATATTGTAGGATAATAAAAAAGAACGAGAACCGTTGTTGTTGTTTTT